AATTTCCATTATCTTCCATGGGCCAATGACTACTAAATCTTCATATCCAGCCCAGATCTTAAGTTCCAGATTTGTGTTTACCCAGTGGATATGCTACTTGCACGTACCATAGGCTCTTTAAAATCAAAAACTCACCCGAACCCCTTCCCTCCTCTTCTTTGCTTCCTATCTCAGTGAATGATACTACAATCTACCCAAATACTCAAGCATGAAACCTAAGAGTCCTTCCTCCTCTAATCCTCTTCTACAGCTTCATCAAGACCAGCTGAATAAATATACTTATATATTTTTCTCCATTTCTTTAGTTCAGGCCACTAAGACTTTCGGAATGGGTAAATACATGAGGCTATCTGGTTTCTATTCAAACCATCCACATTAGAGCCAGAGTGGTCTTTCTAAATCCAAATCTGATTGAGTCATTCCCTGACTAAAAACCTTACTAAAGGCCAGATTCCTTAGCTAGTGTGGCTTATGAAGCCTGTGAAGACATGGGATTCTCCAGCTGGCCTCATCTCTTAGCATTCCTGACCTTTCTTTTGCCACCTGCTACTTCTGACGTGCCAACCTTTTTCAACTGCTCCCAATTCCTTAAAAGCACCATACTTTGGACCTCTGATCAGCACCTAGCATGGTATCTAACACTTGGTATCTAACACTTGAGACAGTGTGTTTGTTGACAAACAAAGTAAGCTGCTGTGATTTTCCTCATGTCCTTTAGTAATTCTAAATGATAACCAAAGGAAGTCCTCACATCTAGAATATACAGTGAACTAAAAATTAATGTTCCACAAGAATAAAGATAATGAAAATACTGTGCATAGGAATTTCTAAAGTGGTATTCCTTAACTTCCATGAGAAAAATGGAATAAAGGTCTAATTGTATCATTAATTTCATTGACTATAATTAAATTAACTAACATTTTAAAATAAAGGGAAATAAATATATATTTAAAATTGGGGGTATTGGGACCCAGAGACTAATGAGGTATTCTTTTTTATTAGCAAAGAATACTATACCTCACTGTGGTAGTGAGGCTGACAGGAAGAAAGAAAGAGGTAAGGAGGGAGGAAAGCAAATACGGAGAATTAAGATAGTTGCCTCCTATTCTAATTCTGCTCATCTTGAATCCCTTGAAATTTGATATTGGCATTCAGAGAATAGGGAACACGATGGAAAAGAATGTGTGGATAGAATAACACTACACTATTTGTATTATCTGTAAACAGTGCCCTTACCTCATTAGTGCTAACTGAAAGAACCTATCAGTCTTTGAAAAAATTTGTTTTACTTCTTTACTTCAACCAACATACAACACTAAATACAAAAGCCATGGACAATTCAATCAATCTCAGATTTCTAAATTTTTATGGTTCACCTTCCAGTTTATACTCATGACAAATTTAAATTGCTACTGCCTCATTAAGCTATTACATCATAGGCTTATACAAAGATATAAGCCTACTTAAGCCAGTGACAGAAAAGCAGAGTTCAGTTACTCTAAAATTTTAATAAATCATAAGAGCATTTAATATAAAATATTAAAGTAAAAATCCAAGATTTTACATTTAAAAGTAAAACAATATGTGCTTAATATAATATTGTAACTTTTAAAGAGAAAGACATTTAAAAATAATCATGATAAGGAAATTCAGAAGTCAACTTTTTAAATATAAAACAAAAGAGCCAAAGAACATTTATATCAGTTTAAAAACTAAACTTTAGAAAAAAAGGCAAAACCTTGTAAAAGTCCTGATAAAATCCTTCTGCCCTCTTAAATTAGTATACAAATTTCAGAAGCCTACAAAATGCCAACAACAGAAAACATTTAGTTCAAATACAGATTACATTCTGGTTGAAATCTTTCCTCTGTCCATTTAGTTTTATATCACTTCTTTTCATCAACAAACTTAATTTTAAATCTTGTTTTTAAAAGTAGAAAGACCTTTATAGAGTTTCTAGATGATAAATCCACATTAGATGGAAAAGACTATTTAACCTCAAAGTC